GGTAATACGGTGACATTCTTCAATCACACATTTGTAAGTTCTGTGTTTAATTAGACCTCAATTTTTATTTTTATATGCTCTTCCTTCCCCCACAGCTCCTTGTATACCATTTATGTTAGTCTGCTACCTTACTCTCAACCCTGACCTGCACGTCTTGGTTCATGAAGTCATCACACTCCCCCGACTTCCTGCCCTCCCACCTGCTGTGTACACGGATGGTAGATGTCTGTGTGTATCTCTGCAGGTGTGTGGCTGTGAGGCAGTGCTTCATTTCAGCATCACCGGATACCAACAAATGTGAGCCCTCCTCTCCTTCCTTACAGGCTTGATCTGGTTTCACTTGATGAATCCTGTTTCGTTACTAAACATGCGGTGAGCTGCCTACAGGTGGAGGGTGGCACTCACAGGGTGCTGTCTTTTGCTCTCTGGGTGACCCACACTGCTGTTACCCGTTTCAGGGGAAGGGGCTGTGGGCCCTTTGTGCCCCCAGGTGCGGCTTGAGTTCTTCAGGTACTTGCAGGCACACATTCACAGTCATCAGTGGGCAGCCTTGGATGCCAAGGAAGACAGTTAAAAAGTCTGATGGCCAAGGGGAACAGTGAGCCCATTCTTCCCACCCAGAAGCTGGCCCTTTACCGCGAACCTTCCATCTGCCCCGCAGAAGGAAAACCCCCAGCTTCTCCTCACCACACTCCAGGTTTGATGGGGTTTTTGTCAGTTCTTTGCCCAAGTTTCATTTCTACATTTAAATGTGAGGTTTCTTTGTTTTTGAAATATGATCATTATAGTTTACTTAAATATTAAATGTTTATTGGGTTGGGGGCATAACTCAGTGCTTGTATCGTATGCCCTGGGGGTGAGGGAACTATGAAATTTCTCCCTTCTTTTATTTCCACTGGGGTTGAACCTGAGGCCTCAGGCAGACTAGGTAGCCATTTTATAATCCCAGCCCTCAGACTGCTTTGTGTATAAAATGTGTCTGCACACACATATGTGGGCGGGGAACAGTTTGGTTTTAATGTGCCCAAATAATGAAACAGAAACTTCTCAGTCTGCCCCCATGTTCTTTTTAAACACGGCCTGCTTTAGTAAAGAAAGCCATGAGAAGGGGTGGCTCTTCCCCCCAGCTAGAAGTGGGTGTGTCTAGCTTCATGACACGCTGTGAAATGTTGGCTGTGTAGTTGTATGTTTGGTTTGAGAGCCTAGGTACTAGTTGAATGTTTAATTGAATGAGAGGTGAGGATTTGCCTACTGATACAACAGAAGCTGCTATGTGAGTCAGAAACCAGGAGTCAGAATGCATTTTAATTCTGTTGCTCTGTTTGTTAGAATTTTTTTTCCAGTGCTGGAGTTCAGTCCCAGGCCTTGCGCACGCCAGGCTAGCACTCCCGTGGCTCCTGCTCTGGAAAATTGGTTTTTAAACCTTTACCAGTGCCACTTAATTATTATAACACTAGAGGGTGCTGTTAGGTAATGGGCTTGCTTTGCTTTTGGTGCTTAGAACTTCTCCCCTCCATTAAGGAGCCAGCATAGATTTTGTTCATCTGATAATCCTAAATCTCTCATGTTCTCAGGTTAACAAGGACAGAGCACTGCAATGGCAGTAGTGTAACATGTGTCTGGAAAGTTACAATCAAACCAAACAGACGTTATTATTTTTTAATTTAAAATGTTAATTAACATACTAAATAACACCACGACAGTTTCATTCATACTTACTTTTGGTTGGATCACCATACCCTAAATGCTCCTGTGTTATCGCCCAGACCCCATCCCTTTTGTAGCCTTCTGCCCAGTAGTCACTCAATTTTCAAATCCCACATGGTCTTTTCCCTTTCACTTCTCTTCTTAACCCCGCTTCCACGGGCCCCTTTCTAGTTCCCTGGCCTGTACAAACACTTACAAAATACTTATGTTTAAAATTAGAAGTAATGTACCTTGTTTGTCTTCCTCACTTGGTATATTTTCTAGTTTAGTTCCTAAAAAGAAAAAAAAGAGATTATACTAATGAGATATCTTCACGTACTTAGCTATTTCTTTTTAAAAATGCATTTGTGTATGTATGTATGCATACTCATGTGTAACATGCATGTGGACGCCAGGGGACAACCTTGGGTGCTATCCCCAAGATTGTTATTTCCTTTGAGAAAGGCGTCTCTCTCGATGGCCTGTAGCTCACCAGTTAGACTAAACTAGCTGTCCAGCAAGCCCTAGTGCTCTTCCCTCCCTGGTGCTGGGCTCAAACCGCTCACCACACACTTGGCCTTTTACCTCCTACATGGGTTCTGAGGATAGATCCAGTTTGGGCGTCGGGTTCACAGGGCTAGTAACCCTTTGCTAACAAAGTCCTTTCTCTAGTCTTTGAGATTCTGGTCATTTCCCATCCCCACCCACCCCACCCCACCCCACCCCCTTTTTTCTTTTTGAAACACAGTTTCTCTGTGTAGCCCTGGCTGTCCTGGAACTCGATTTGTAGATCCACCTGTCCATTCCAGAGTCATGCAATTAAAGACATCCGCCATGCCCAGCTAGATGCTGGTAATTTGTGACAAATTAAATTCTTTTGTTGTTATTTGTCCAAGTTTAGTCTTTAATTATTTTCCTTCATTTTTATCTTGAATTTAACCTCACATAGTTGCTGCTCACTTGCCTCTTACTACCCAGAGAGAGACATGAGGTGAGTTTTAAATACACACAGATATGAGTAGCACAGGTTTTTCGAGACATGGTTCTTCCATAGCCTGCCCTGAAATTTGCTCTGTAGACCAGGCTGGCTCACAGAGATCTGTCTGTCTCTGCCTCCTGAGTGCTGGATTAAATGCCCCCATAAATGTTTACTGTGACATGACTCATGGTCATTTCCCACAAATGCTCTCTGATCACTGGGGATGAAGCTCTATTTACTTTATTTTTTGTTTATTGTGCCCATTTCCCCAGTTTTGTTTTCTAAGACAAGGTTTTTCTATATAACAGTCCTGCCTGTCCTGGACCTCGAGCTGTAGATCAAGCTGGCCTCGAACTCACAGAGATTGGCCTGCCTCTGCCTCCTGAGTGCTGGGATTAAAGGCGGTCACCACCACAGCCTGACTAGTTCCCTCCTGTTAATGTTAGCTATTCCCTTTATTGGCAAGTAAACTCTATATCTTACATATTGTCTCACCACCCTCTTGGAGGTGAATAGATACAGCTAGGTGTAGGCCATTTGGCCTGCATTTAATAGTGTTATGGGTTTTGTTTCGTTGAAAGACTTAACAGTTTATGAATTTGATATTTTAGCAACAAAAAGTGATTCTCAAATTTAATAATTTTTTTGTTTGTTTTGTTTTGAGACAGAGTGTTAGTATGTAGCCCTGGCTGTACTGGGACTCTTAGCCTGGATATCTGAAAAATGCCTTGTTTAGCTTTTGTACACAGATTCATCTTAACTGAGCAAACAGTTCAAACATTTCCCCAGCTCATGTTCATGCTTTATTGCGTTATGGCATTTCATGTTATTATGAAGTCTTGGGGCAATGCTAGTAAATATAGTCATACTGCACTTAACGAAGAAAGACAGCTTCTGAGGTGCGTCTCTAGGGAACATGGCCGTGTGCATGTATGACTTACAAGATAGACACTGGCCTTATGGCGTAGGTGTCCTTGTGTATGTGGGACAAAACTCAATTTGAAAGCAGACATTTTGTCCCTGCACTCTCCCCCGCCTCCTTGTTCAGACTGTCTGGACACAGGTTCTCCTCTGACTTTACATGAGTCCACTGTACCCTTACAGTGTGGCTCATGGCCCTTTCTCATTCTTAGAACAGCTTAGTCAGTGTCTTTTAACATTATGTCCTAGGTTTATCTGTTCGCCCCATCTTCAGCTTTTAAAGATTTATTTAGTTTTATTCTTGGAAGTGTGTGCCTGCGCGCACATATGTACATCACATGTACGGTGATCGCAGAGGCCAGAAGAGGGTGTTGGACCACATAGACCTAGAGTTACTGTGAGTCACTGTGTGGGTTCTGGGAACTGAATTCTGGTACTCTGTAAGAACAGTTAGTGCTCTTACCCATGGTGCCATCTCTGCAGACTTTTCTCTTTCCTGTTTCTTGGCTCCCTGGGTGCACTGGCGCTCAGGTAGGTGGCCAAGTGGGGACTGTGTTCTGGGCCTTTGGGGCGCTGTACTTCCGTCCTGAACCTTTGCAGTTCTCCAGCCTTCTCCCCAGCTTCCAGATGTCTCCTCCTCTGGTCCCATGGCCTCTTTTCCCCCCTCCTCCCCTTCTCAAGGTTATGGGGATGAGTGGCGCTCTCTGCTCTTTTTCTCCTGGTGCCTCTCTGTCCTTGGGGGCCTCGCTTCTCAGGTGTCCTGTGCTGCTGGCAGAGTCCTTACTGCCTCCTGCCTGTCGACTGAGTGTGGTATTCCTCTGGTTTGGGGAATGCAGTCTAATATAAGAGAGATGGAGACCTGCTCCCACCACACTCTGCCAGCCCTGGCATGGGGTCAGAATGAGGAAGGACAGTCTGGCTGCCTGTGCTGCCCCTTCCTCTTCAGAGACTGTGCATTTACAACCTGTCTGCCAGACACACTGGGGCTGTGTGACTTGCTCTTCAGGGTTCATTTGTGTTGGCTTTGATTATTGTTTAATGATAGGATCCTACCTTGAAATCACTGAAAGAAATTCTTTGAGTTTTGCAGTCTGATGTTATTGGGCTCCTGATTGGGGAAAAGAAACCTGCCAGGGAGTAAAATTAATCCCCCCTTTCACTGAGCTGGCAGCAACATGGGCAGACTTGCTCATCTGAACTGCTTGAAAAGATAGATTTTAATTTCTCTTCTTTGTTTGGGTTTGAGAAATACAATCCCAGCTGCTGCTGGGGTTCTATAATAGAATATCCAGATTGCTCTGAAGAAGCCTGCTGCAAGGCTGGTTTCTAGACTGTAATAGAGGCTTTTGCAGTAACTGTTTGTAACCAGGTGGTGGCCGTTGTGTAATACAAATAGCATTTCTGATGAGGTGCGGTTAGTTATACAATTTTGGCCAGCTTGTGTGGGTTACAAGAGCTGAAATTACTTCAACTCCTGCTACATCCCAGGACAGTCACAACACTGCACAGACGTTGCAGGACAATATTGTGGGCAGATCAAGACTCCTTTGAAGGTATGACCATAACTTGGTACAAAAGCTCTACTTTGGGGGATGAATTCTGAGGCTTCCTGGACTGTGTGCCTGAACATGTCTATGTCTGTTTCTGTGTGTGCATTTGTAACCATGTATGTATCTGTGTGTGAGTATATCTGGCCATATGCCTGGTTTTCTCTGAGTGTTTTCTTGCAGTGCGCGCGCGCACACACACACACACACACACACACACACACACACACACACACACACACACACAGAGAGAGAGAGAGAGAGAGAGAGAGAGAGAGAGAGAGAGAGAGAGAGAGAGAGAGAGAGAGAGAGAGAGAGAGACTCTAGGTGGGTGGTGGGTGAGTAGTTTATAGTTGGTGTTGCCAGGCATTATTTACATATTAGCAACTGAACATTAGCATTTCTACAACTCTCAGAAGGCAATGCCCCTTGTTACACTTGTCAGAGAAAGGGAGAACACGGCAGGCTGCAGCAGGGAAGAGCTCTGAGTGTTCTTGTCTGTTTTCTTTTTTACAGCCTTTTAGGGCTTTGGAGAAAAGGAATGTAAATAACAAAATTCATGAAGACCTGGGATCTCTTTATAATGGAATACATCAACTTTTTTTAAATCCTTGTAAACTTTTTAGATTTTAAGAATATTTGGTTCAGTACAGAAAAACAAAAATCATGATCTCTGTGGTGTCTGACTCTAATGATTACAGTTTCAGTGTTAGGTGGGTCTTGGTTTTGTTATTACTATTATAATGACATGGGATCTTATAAGATTACCGTGACTGGTCTTGAATTCTCAGTCCTCTTGCCCTAGGTTCTTGAAAGCTTGTGTGCTGCTGGAAACAATTCCGCCTTAAAGGTTTTTTTTTTTCCTTTTTTCCTTTTTTAAAAGGAGAAACATTATCCCTTGCAAGGGGGAAAATGGACAGCATGGTTATAGGCTCCCCTTTATGGAAGATTAGAGGAAGTCTTACTTTTTCTATTACTTTATAGTTGGTTTTAACCTGGATAAGGCTTGTAGTCCCTGACTAGGTAATTGCAGTGCTGCTTAGGTAAACTCTTGTCAATCCCTTAGGTAAAATTCCCCTTAACCTTTCTGCAGATAAGAAGGTGGCTTTTGGTGAAATGCAATCCAGGGAGGTGGGCAGAAAAAGATTGTGACAAAGATTTGCAGATGGAGGGGGAAACAGTTGATAAAGAGAACTAAGCAGGCAAAAATCCGGCAAAGGTGGTAAGACATGTGAACAGGGAAGGGGCCCTCTGGATTATAAGGAGATTTGGCTTTGATGTTTGAGGCACAAGGAAAAGATGGGAACCTTCCAGAGTGGATTGGTGTGATCCAAAGAGTAGCTCAGAGAGTTTAAGGAAAGAGATGGGCAATGTCAGAAATAGCACACATGACTCCTCTCAGTGGGGGAGCAGAAGGGGACGGCGACCCTAGAGTTCACTCACAGCCTCTTCTTTGGGGAGGGAGTGGTGCTGCAAAGAGAAGATGGAGCAGGGAACCCAGCACAACAGAGCAGGGGAGCAGGAGCAGTGTCTCCTGGAACATACCGTAGCTTCCAAAGTCTCTTTCATGTTAGAGTGAAGGAGGGCATTGGAGATCTGAAATAAGAGAAAACTCTCTGTGCTTCTTGACAGTAAGCCAGGGACTTGGTCTTCCTTGACTTGTTCCAAACTGGCTACTAGTCGTCAGAGCTTTGTTCTTTTTCATTAAAAAAAAAAAAATCATTTTATTATTTTTCTTAAATTGTGTGTACATGCATGCAGTGCCTTTGGAGACCAGAAGAGGGCATCCTAGAGTTGGAGTTACCCCACATGGGTGATGGAAATCCAACTACAGTCCTCTGCTGGCTAATTTTATATCAGCTTGACACAAACTAGAATCACTGGAGAGGAGAAATTGAGAAATTGTCTCCACAACTGAGAAAATGCCTCCATGAGACTGGACTGCAGGCAGGCCTGTAAGGCATTTTCTTAATTAGTGCTTGATGGGAAAAGCCTAGTCCATTGTGGCAGGAGTCATGCCTGGGCAGGTGGTCCTGGGTTCCGTGAGGAAGGCTGAGCAAGCCACGAGAAGCAAGCCAGTAAGCAGCATCCCTCCATGGCCCCTGCACCAGCTCCTGCCTCCTGGTTCCTAACCGTGCTTGAATTCTTGTCTTGATCTCCTTCAGTGATGGACAGTGCATAAGCCAAATAACACAATAATAACCCTGCCTAGGGCAGGTCCTCTAGAGGAGGAGAAAGTACAGAGCTTGTTCTGTAGGACTAGAGCCTGCATGAGAGCACAATGCCTGCTGTGTTCTCAGAATCCTTGCCCAGCTCACTTTTGCTCCCTCTTTGCCTCAGTTGCTCAAATGGAGACAGCAACCCCTACCAGAATTCTTAAGACGGTTAAAGTAAACCATAATTTGCATCTGGAATTCGATAGTCTACTATGCATTCATTTTTATCTATTGTTAAAATTTAAAGATTTAGTTGTTTGTTTATTTATTTATTATGTATACAGTGTTCTGTCTGTATGTATTTCTGCAGGCCAGAAGAGGGCACCAGATCTATTATAGATGGGTTGTGAGCCACCATGCGGTTGCTGGGAATTGAACTCAGGACCTCTGGAAGAGCAGCCAGTGCTCTTAACCACTGAGCCATCTCTCCAGCCCTATTGTTGAAGTTTAATGTAAGATTAAATTTTACTTTCTGGAGAATTAGGCTCAGTCTGCAAAGGGCTTGCCACACAAGCATGAGGACCTGAGTCTGATACCATGTGAAAAGCTAACCATGGTGGAGATAGGTAGGTCAGCTTAGCCTACTCAGGAGCTCTAGGCCAATGAGAGACCCACCTTGTTTCTTGAATTTCCTGAGGAATGTCACCAAGGTTGACCTCTGGCTTCCACACTCACTAGTATGCACACATTCCTGTCCACGAACATACTCATGCGCACCCACGCACAATTAGCTTTCCACGGTGATTAACGTTGGTTTTGTTTGCTTGTTTCCGGGTGCTAGGGATGAAGCTCAGGACTTGCACATGCAAAGAGAGTACTCTGCTGCTAAGCTACATTCGCCCCACGTTTATATTTTAATTCTCGTCCTACCTCTCCTCCCCTTTCAGGTTCCAGGCACAATATTTCCCTAAATAAACCTGGAGAACAGCAGTTAAGTGTGGTTTCTCCTCCTTGTGACTAGAATGCCCTTTAAAAAAAGTTGTTTCCCTAAAATCTGTGAACGCCTTTTATGTACTTGTCACTGTATCCTTGCCCTGCCTGCTGGGGAAGCTGGACTGATGCCAAGTGCCATGGAAATGCAGAAGGGGAAGAGACAATTCAGGAGTGCCTCTGAGGAGGCGGCCCTTTGAGTTCAAACAGCAAAGATGAGGAGGTGAAAGAGGATTTTATCAGAGTTTTATTTAAATAGTGTTTGGGGAAGCGGTTTCTGCTGGGAAATTCCAGCAGACTTGGCAGTAACTCGTCTGATGTGTATAGGTCAAATATGCAGATTGTTGAGCTTGGGAGAGGCTCAGTTCATAGTGTGTACCTTGTAAGCATTAGCATCTGAGCTTGATCTCCTGAACCCAGGTAAGAGCTATGTACAGTAGTCATATGTGATCACAGTATCCCTGGGGCTCAGTGGGAAGCCAGTGTAATTTGAGATGCTAGGGTCCAGGCTCAGTGAGAGTCCGTGTCTCAAAAAAAAAATCAGGTGGAGTGCGATTGAGAAGACACTGTTAACCTCTGGCCTTTAATGCATATGCACACACGTGTATGTGCACACACAGAGAGAAAAAAGATGGCTGGTGGACTTGTATGTACAAGCACACAAAATAAGCACTGTGCTGACATTTTGCTGTACACAGGCTGTACCTCTTTCCCCAGCTGAGCGGAAGTGAATGTCCTGACCTCCTGTAGGGCGATCAAGAAGCCCTGGGAGGATGGCTTTTTGTGCAATTGTTCATCCTGCAGCCCTGCAGACAGAACCTAGATCCCCCATCGGAAACCAGGCTTCAAATGCTTCTCTTGAAATGCTCTTTTTATTTCTCTTACAGTTTTTTGGGCTGGAGAGGTAGCTTAGTAGTTATGTGTCCTGGCTGCTCTTCCAGAGGACCCAGGTTTAATACGCAGCACCCAATGGTAACTTCAGTTTCCAGAGCTTGTATCGTCCTCTTCTGGCCTCCATAGGTACTAGACACATGTGATGTACAGGCATACATTTAGACAAAACACCTGTACACATAAAACATAACTAAAAAAGAGAGCAAGTCCTTAAGCTAAGACAGTGACAAAAAGGCTTAATGGTGTTTTGGGTACAAAGGTGATCTTTTCTGTGGCAGTACCTGTATATATAGGATCCATGCAGATTTAGTTTTGTGGGAAAGCCTGCTCTGCTGTTAGTGGGCCTTTCCATGTTTGAGAGGGGCCTCTTGTAACTAGTGTCACTGTCTTGCTCCATGGGCTCACTTTGTCACATTTTTCTCTGAGTGTTATGCTTAGCAAATAGTGTATCCAGGTACTGACTCCTGCTTCTGTGTTACTAGAGAGCTTTAGTTACATTGGTGACTTTCAGACTTGATTTGACTGATCCACAGTGTGAAGAACGCATTTTACCTTGAAGCTTGCTGTAAGATAGCTGAAACAACAATGTGTAAAGAAAGAGGGATTTATCTCCTAATTTGGGAGACCTGAAGTCTAAATATCGTGGTGCTAACTTGTGGAAGGCCAGATCCAGGGTTCTAGCAAGGCCAGGGTCTTGCCTGACTGTAATCGCCTCAGGCTAGATGACATCATGGCCAGGGTCAGAGGGATCACATGATAAGACTAGAAATGAAAGTGTGATGCAGGATTTGACTTCCTCTTTTATAGTAGCTCTCTTGCAAGAACAGCCACTCTTCAAGGGCAGAGTCCTCAGTGTCTTCCCTTTGGCGCCTATGACATCACCATCCTGAGGATCAAGTCCCCAGCACAGTCAGAACATCTAAGCCACAGTACTCTGTTGCCCTTTCCCAGTGAGCTGTGCTCTGAAATTGCTGCTGCTTCTGTTTCTGTAGCCCTGGCTAACTTGGGACTTTCTGTGTAGACCAGGCTGACTTGAACTCACAGAGATCCACCTGCCTCTGCCTTTCAAGTGTTGGGATTAAAGACATGTGCCATCACCACTACCACCTGGCTTTGCCTCCTAATTTTATTTGATTTTTCTCTACACAGAAATAAAAAAAAATCTATCAGTCTTTTTTATCTTTTTTTTTTGAAACAATGTTTCTCTGTGTAACTGTCCTGGCTGACCTGGAACTCATTCTGTAGACCAGGCTGGCCTCTCAGATATCCTCCTGCTTCTGTCTCCCCAGTGCTTTTTTGTTTGTTTTCAATCTTTAATGATAAGCCAAGAAAAGAGTTCCCGATCCCAATATATAATCATGTAGTAGACATTTTAAAATATTGGGTCTTCCCTTGATTTTGTGAGTCGTGGATTTAATCCACACCTGCCCTGTTCTTGAAGTGCCACTATATCGTATATTTATAGTCACATTTCTCGTGTCTGGAATGAGTCAGGCCGTTTTTATACCTTCTTTTTAAAATTATAGCCCTGTTTGAGACTTTTTTTTGATACACTCTTTCTGTGTAGTTCAGGCTGGCCTCAAACTGAAAGTCCGCTTGGAGGCTTGTACCACGTGTCCAGTGCTGTTTATAGCCATTCTTGGTCATTCTTTCAGGAATTTTTAGGGATATTAAGATTAAATTTTTATCAGTTTTGCTGATTGGAAAATGAATATCTTTGCAGTAGCTCCAGGAACATTCTGTTTCAGTGGTTACTCAAATCCCTTTTATGGAAAATCAAATAAGATTATGATCACAGGACAGAAATAATTGCTACTTTATATAATAAGAGATACATGATGTGCCTGGCGTACATGGCCACTTAACGTAGAAAATGGCTATTATTACTGTCATTGTCGTCATCATCCTTCAACCACTCCTTCTCCTCTCAAGTGGTCAAGAGCCTTCAGCAAGCAGCCTGGCTCATTCTCTGTCCTTTGGCAAGGAGCAGGAAGAGGGGCCTTGGGGCACCACTGATGAATAATCTTCCCCTAGCGCTAGAGTTCCTGGGAGATTTTCCTCTCTCTCTCTCTCTCTCTCTCTCTCTCTCTCTCTCTCTCTCTCTCTCTCTCTCTCTCTCTCTCTCTCTCTCTCTCTCTCTCTCTCTCTCTCATTGTTGTTGTTATATATACATATATGTGTGTGAGCCTGTGAGAGTGTATATGTACCATTTGTGTATAAAAGCCCTTGAAGGGTAGAAGAGAGTGTTGTATTCCCTAGAAAAGGAGTGACACACAGTTGTAAGTCAACATGTGGATGCTGGGAACTGAACCCAGGTCCTTGGCAAGAGCAGCAAGTGTTCTTAACTGATGAGCTGTTTCTCTAGCACCCACAGTTTTTAAAATGTAGTTTTCTAAAACTTTTTATTTAATAATGATTTTGTTTTTGAGATAGGCTGTCTATATAGCCCTGGTTGTCCTGGAACTCACTATGTAGACTAGGCTTGTCTTGAACTCTTGCCTCTCGCCTAGGTGCTGGGGATTCAAGGTGGGCACCACCACACCTGATCTATGTTTTTATTTTTAATAATGTGTACCTGAGTGTGGGTTTGTGCACCCGAGTGCAGTTGGATTCTCTTTAAGTGGAATCACAGGTAATTGGGAGCAGGGAGCAAAACTCAGGTCTCTAGTAAGTACTCCTAACCTAACTACCGAGCCCTCTCTCCAGCCCTGTGTTGTCACAGATTTGAACAAGTCCATAAACTTCCCTCTGCCTTGTCCCTTCCCTTTCAACTTTTGTGTGTTGCCTCCAGACCTTGGCATTTCCCCTGCAGAAGTGCATCCTGTGGGGTGAAGTCACTGATCTCACGCTGGTACAGGGTTTCTGACCTTGCAGCTGTGTCTGCGAGCCTTGCATGCGTGGGTATGGAAAGTCCAGTCTTTTGCAGCTGTGTCTGCGAGCCTTGCATGCGTGGGTATGGAAAGTCCAGTCTTTTGCAGCTGTGTCTGCGAGCCTTGCATGCGTGGGTATGGAAAGTTCAGTCTTTTGGGACTTCACTGTCTGCCTTTCTGTTCACATTCATTTGTTGTCCATGTGTCCCAAAGCCTTTTTCACAACCTTGCCTCCTCCTCCTAACCAGCTCTCCCACTTGTGGCCAGAAACAAATATTGCCATTGGAGTACAAAATCAGCCCCGTTGAGAATTACTATTTTAAGTAGATGTGGGTATGATAAGGTTGTGTTTTGGTTTTTTTTTTCCTTTTTTTTTTTTTTTTTTTTTTTTTTTGAGACAGGGTTTCTCAGTGTAGCTTTGGAACTAGCTCTTGTAGACCAGAGCTGGTCTTGAACTCAGAGAGATCCACCTGCCTCTGTCTCCCACATGCTGGCACTAAAGGCATGTGCCACCACCACCCGGCTTTTTTTGTTTTGATTATGATAATGTTGTAAATGAGTAGCTACTTCAGAAAGATTTGATGGGTGTCTTGGATTCTCTCCGTGGTTAAGAGCACTGGCTCCTCCTCTCCCAGTGCTCACATAGTGGCTAACAAACATCTGTAACTCTGGTCCCAGGGGGTCTGATGCCCTCTTTTGGTCTCTAGGCACATGGTGCACAGACATACATGAAGGCAGAATACCCATACATACAAAATTTAAAACTTGAGCTGTGTGTTTTGTTTTTCCTTTCTGCTGTCTGGACTGCTGAGTGTTCAACTTTCACATGTCTTTTCTTATTCCTTTGTGCCCCCGCCCCCAACCCAATCCAAATGGAGAAATCTCTGAAAAGGAAGTCTCCAATTTTTGTTCTGTACACTCTTTAGTCTGGTTAGAGTTTTTGCCTTTTGGAGGGCAGATCTGACATTACTAATAACTGCCGCCCTCCTGCCTGCTTGCAATACTCTTTTATTTATAAAAAGCCAGGCACATCTGGGCATGTTTTGCTGTACATGTGCCAGCCCTTGTAGCCTTTGTGCTTTCTCAGTTTTGAAGACAAGTTTTCCAAATGTTTGTTAATCCAGGGTGGATTAGCTGTATTTTCCAGGTTATGCTTTGTGGTTTGAAATTGTTTTAACTTTTTTTTTCTCTCTTTTGAAACTTGTCTGTATGAATTGTTACAGGATCTTCCCGATTTCATAGTTTTTATTTTAGTTTGGAATATTGGGTGTTTCTTTATTGAATAATAGCAACTCTTAGATTACTCAGACTAGTCATATTCATCTTGGATTTGGTAGTGGTGATCTCTCCTTTCCCATCTCTTGTGCTTCCTCTTCTTTTTGGGAGAAGGAGGGAGGCTCTGGGCTTCCTTTTTAGGCTTATGTTTTATCTGATTGAGCCTGCTGCTCTGATTCTTTTTTTTTTTTGTGGTATTCAAATTAACTGAGAACTTACGCTGTTCCTACCTTGCTTGAATTCTGTGTAGCCACTTAATCCTAGGATATTTGCCTCTTATTGGATGTTGAATATCTTCTACTCTCCATAAGATATATGTAGGGAATTTAGAATTACTTCAGTCACCATCCAGTCATGACAAATTGGCTATATTTGCATTGTTTTAAATTTTTAATTAAATTCACTTCTGCATTGGCACAAGTCACTTTTTAAGTGCCCTAGTGATCTCTGCTAGATAGGGCAGGAACAGAATATTTTTATCCCTGGAGAGTGTTCTGTCAGGTAGCTTGGGGCTAATGCAGTTGGAGGACTACCTTAGCTGTTTTTTCTTCCTAGTATTCTGATATTTTTGACACTGTTTTCATGCTCCTTTTTCAGCAGGCGGTCGACTGTGAGTGATGAGGGTCAGTTCTTGAAGCATTGGTGGTGTCTTGTCAGCTGTTTGGGTATACTCGGACTGTGCAGGCAGCCTTCTCTGACTTTTCTGCATTGTCTTTTGCAGGTGATAAGAGATGACACTAATCTCTGTCTGAGAATCCTGTGTGCTGAAGAGCTGTTTCTGCTTGAGCTCCTGGCTTGAACAAGCCTTCACTGTAGCCACGTCAGGCCAACGCTTGTGTAGGTTGCTCAACTTCCTTAATGATGGGTATTGGCAAGAACACGACCTCCAAATCAGTGGAGGCTGGGAGTTCCACAGAGGGCAAATATGAAGAGGAAGGGAAGCACCCCAATTTCTTTACTCTCCCGGTAAGAGCATTTCCTGCCTTCTCGGTCTTCTCTGGAGTAGATGCAGGACAGACTTTAACACTTGTGTTTCAGTGAACATGGTGGCACTGAAAATCAGCTGCCTCTTATGTTGTCTTCGACACAACCAAGTATTGGCTATACTCTCAGTCATCCTCAGGGCACCTATTGGGTTAATGTTTTAAAATTGTCCCAATGCTTACCGTATTCTGGAGTCTTTATTTTCTCTTCAAAACTGTCCTGGCAGGAAGTAATGTGATCCAACTTTCGAATTGCAGATGGGAGGGATGAATGACATATTATTAAAATCCTGTATTAGACATTTCCAAAGACGTAGCTCATACCCAACACACCGTCAGCTACCTTGAAACTGGCTGATGCAACAAAGCACCTTCCTTCCTTCCTTCCTTCCTTCCTTCCTTCCTTCCTTCCTTCCTTCCTTCCTTCCTTCCTTCCTTCCTTCCTTCCTTCCTTTTTTGGTTCTTTGAGAATTTTATACAATGTAATTTGAGTGAATCCACTCCTCTTCCCCCGTGTCCTATGTTCCTTTCTATCCTATTCTTGAGATTTCTTTTTTGTTTTCTTTTCCCACCAAGTCCAGTTTGTATTGAGAGTTGAGACTTCACTGCTGTGTGGTTGAGCTACCAGTGCTCGTGTCATTAAAGAAAACAGACTCTCCTATCCCTGCAGCTATCAAATGCCAATAGTTCCTCAGCTAGTATTGGGATTTCTTGGTCATCTTGCCCATTCCATGCTGGGATTTTGTCTTAAAGCCTCTATTCTTACAGTCCTGTACAGCCCTGTGTGACACTGGTGGCCACAGTCAAACAAAACCATATGGAGTAGCTGATACTACAGCCCAAAGCTCATAGGCCTGGGAATCGTGGCCTTTGGTATTTCTCAGCCCTGGTCTCCTCCAGGTGCTCCTGTAGCTGCACTGAGTTGTGGCTCACCTGTCCTTTAACTGTACTCGTGACACGGCTGTCCCTGGTCCCGTAGTGAAATTGCGAAGATTGTGTTCCAGCCCTCACATAGAGAAGAATGGATGGTGGTGAGGTGACTAATGTCTGTCTGGCACATACCAAGCCCTTGTGCTTTGTGCTTTCACATCTTCTTTCCAAAGTGAGGCTGACAGATATTGACTTAGAGATGCCTGCTGTGGTTCCAGTGTGGCCTGTTTCCTACAGATCTCATCTTGGAATTTAGTCCCCATTAGGAAATATGAAGAGATGGCACCAGGTGGAACTTTGAAGAGGAGACTAGAGCTCTGCCCTTTTGAATGGATAATCCATTCATGCATGTGATTAATAGATGGATGTGCCAGTTGACTATCAAAGCCAGCTTAGCTAGGTCTCAGGTACATTCCCTGTCTTTCATTATGAGCAGTTCTCCACAGTTTCCGGACTCTGTAGGCAAAAGAGCCATCACCAGACACAGCGTCTTGAAACTTGGGTCAGAACCGCAACAGCTATTTTTTTCTTTTTCTCCTTTTAAATCTCTATTTTACATATGTGGGTGCTTTGCCTGCTTGTATGTGTACCACATGCATGCAGTGCCTGAGAGGCCAGACGGGTATTGGATCCTCTGACAGCAGTTACAGTGGGTTTGAGCCACCATGTAGGTGCTGGGAATTGTACTAATGTTTTATGTTTCTCACCTAAATAATGTGGGACCAGTATGCCAAGTTCCCAACCCTACCCCTGCAAATCATTCTGATATGACTGTACCCATAGCCTACATTTAGCTCAACTTCAATTCTGCTCATTTCTTCAGCCACCCTACAAGCCATGTTAATAGTGCAGATCAAAACCAAATCTTAGAAATTTTAAGAAGCATTCCAAGACTGAGGTTTCATTGGTAAAATAGTGTTCGGAAGTTCACAAAGTAAAAATGTTATACAATTGTCAATGCTTTTTAACTTTGTTCCTTAACACACACACACACACACACACACACACACACACACACACACACACACACACACACTCACACACCCTCAGTCCTTCTCTTGAAGAACTGATTTTAACATTTGATTTTTTTTTCTCTTTCCTCTTTTGAGTGCTAGTTGTCTAACCAAGAGCCATGTATATGCTAACATGTCCTCTGCCCCAGCATCTTGCCTGGAGCTGGGTGCTGCCCATTGTACTCAACAGAAAACCCCCTTTACCTCAGGACATCAGTCTCTACCCTTCTGCTTCAATGGGACTGTGCTGTCCTGCTGCTAATCCTGCATCTGCCACTGCCTCTCAGGCACTGAAGGGTCTGCCTACTTTAGCTCCTGCTGCTGCCTTTTGACTTTAGCCTACCTGCCCACCCTCTGCTGTGGCTGGAGTGGTTGAGAATTCCCTAGTCTGGCGCCTGGTGCCTGGCGCCTGGTGCATACTCTAGATGGACCTCCTGTAAAATATCAGGATTGAGTCTTGTTTGTCTGGGACACAGCTAGAATCTGTTAAAGAAGTAGCTGAGCTTTTATTTAGTTCAAGGAGCATCTGTCTGTGTATATGAATAGAAAGAATCAGGAGAGCAGTTGTAATTGTGAACTGTTATCAAATCTGTTGTTTTGGGTAGTGTGTCAGATTTTAAAATTTATTGAGATTGGCTGTAGTGGTGTTACTTTCCTGTAATCTCAGTGTTCAGGAGGCCAAGGCTAGAGAGGGTCAGGGGGCTAGCTTGGGCTATATTTTGAGGTACAGTTTGTATAACATATAATTTGAAATAAAGTTGCCAGAGACATATGATATATTCACAGTGTTGTGTAACCACCACGTCCAGCAAGTTCCAAACCGCCCTGTTCCCCAAGAGATACAGTTACCCAAGGAGTAGGGCGGTCTTGTCCAGGGCTTACTGTACTCCAGACTCAGGTTTCTCTGATGGAGTCACTTTGTGTTATATTAGGAAGGTTCATGTTGCCTGTGTTTTCTCCTGGGTTTCTTAGGCAGTTGAGCGTTGCTATGATGCAGTATGGTATCTTGTAGCTTCAAGTGGGGACTTGAATTTGGCTGGGAACATGGGTCTTCTTGCTGCAGCTAGTACAGGAAAACCAATGTCACAAACACAGCTGTTCATTAAGATACCGTAGTGTGATTTAGAATTTTGTCTTTTTGTTTCTTGGGATAGGGTCTTGCTCTGTTCCAGTTTGCCTTGAGATCCACAATCCTCCTGTGTCAGCATCCTGAGAGCTAGGATTATAGGTGTGCACCACTGTACCTGGATAGAAACACTTTTAAAAGCAGATATCTGGCATACTTGGGTCTGCGTGTTTTCAAGTGGGAAATTTAATTTTTTGCTGGTCCAATTTCCTTAGCTAGAATAGTAAGTATATTGGAAATCTCTCTGGAATTCCTCAGTTCAAGGAACTTTATATCCACTCTGTTGCTTAGCTTTTTAATGACTCCTTCTTGGAGAAAGAACTTGATACATGAAAAACAATCAGTCAGCTCTACTTTAAATCTTTACGGTGCATACCAGCTCATCAATATTTTTTTGTATTAGGAGATTGAGGGCAGAAGTAGATATAAGGAATTAATCATTACTTTTGTTCATCAACCCATTTTAGCAAGAAAGGCTCATCAGTTATGATAATTGGGCTGCTTTGTTCTTGTTCCCTGACTTTAAGAGTGCTGTAGAAGGAGATTTCCTCCATCTGTCTTGGTCCCACTGGACTGGTTTTCCCTCACCCACTGGGTCCCACAGCTGCTTAAGAAATAACCACTCCACGACTAAATATATATTTATAGTTGTTTGGCCATTGGCTTAATTATTTAACCCATTACTAAATCTGTGTATTTCCATGTGGCTGTGGCTTACCCGGTGCACCTGGCAGCTACATGGCCACTGCCCTTTGTCCTTCTTTCCCTGCCACTTTGGAATTCTGCCTAGCTAAATTATGCCTGTTCGTTGGCCAAAACGACTTTATTCATCAACCAATAAGAGAAACATATATTCATAACATATGGAAGGGCATCCCCCACCAGAGTTTGTCATCCAACTATGTATGTGCCTTTCTAAAACTTCAGATTGTCTTCTAAGCAATTTAACAAAAAACATCTTAATCTAACTAAGTTATTTTCAAAGCTTTGTTTTAGCTATGATGCACTATGAAACCTGTGAACACTTCTCCCAACATTAAGGGTGAAAGAATTAAGCTAGCTGGGTTACTGGGACTGAATTGCTTTTCTTAATCATTAACTGAAGCCACAGTCTATACATGGCTCCTCAATAGAAATTCATGTGTTCTAGCTGTGTGACACTTCCTTGTTTTATTTTTTTATCATCAAATCTCTATTTAAACTAACATTATTATTATCAATTAGACAGTACTGTTTTGGAAGAAATCTTCATAATCACAGGTAAAAATAGCTATCTCATTATGTTACTTTGAAGACCTGTCTGGCCTTAAATTCAGAGATCCTCCTGCTTCTACTGCTGAACTTATAATTCCATGGTTTTTTGTTTATTTTTTGTTTTTGGTTTTTCAAGATAGGGTTTCTCTGTATTGTTTTGGAGGCTGTCCTGGAAATCGCTCAGTAGACCAGGCTGGTCTCGAACTCAACAGAGATTCACCTGTCTCTGCCTCCTGAGTGCTGGGATTAAAGGCATGTGCCACCAACAACCAGCTTAATCCCATGTTTTTTTAAAAAGTAGTGGGAGCCAGACAGAGTGGCACCATCCCTAGTGCCAGCATGTACGAGGCTGAAGGCAGGAGTATCATGAGAGTTCCAGGCCAGTCTGGGCTATGTAGAAAACCCTTATCCAAAAGAAATAAAAGTGTAGTTCTGTTGTTACCACTATAGCTAAGTTTTATGAGGTTTTCATTGATGTAATAGACTCCACATAAGAATAACTCTCCTGAGCCGGGCGGTGGTGGCGCACGCCTTTAATCCCAGCACTCAGGAGGCAGAGGCAGGCGGATCTCTGTGAGTTCGAGGCTGGGCTGGACCAATAGCCTCCGAAACAATACAGAGAAACCCTGTCTCGTAAAAACCAAAAAAAAAAAAAAAAAAGAATAACTCTCCTAGACTAGAGAGCGATCACTCTGCCGAGTGCTGCCGTTGATGAGGGGGTGGGCCAGCTCTCCTACCTGCCTCAGGCGTTGATGGGGAGTCGGGAGATCTCTCTCCTACCCATGCTGCCACATGACAGATGAGTACTGGGACAGCTCTCCTGTGCTCACAACTTCAACAACAGGATTGGCTCTGTTGTGCTGCCCAGGTGAGATGCAGGGTCTGCTCCTCTGAGGCAACAGTTCTTCTTTGTAGAGCATACTGGCAGTTGCTTTGGTGGTTCCTGAAGAAGCCATCTTAACCAAAGTAGCTTAGGCACCACCACTCAGCAGCAACCTGGTCACCTGCATTGCAACACTGGCTTGTCAGTCACCTCCCTTGTCCTGAAGAGTGTTGGGGATTCTATGGCTGGAGGTTTCTTTGGAGTGTTTTATTTTGGTCTTCCTTGGTGGGTCCTGGCTCACCCAGCTCCACCCTATAGGACATAGCACATTTCCCCAGTTAAATAGCCTATTACACCCATCAGAGTTTCATTGAAGAAAATGAACTTTTGTAGCTGTGATATATAAAATGTACGTTAGGGCTCTTATAAGAATTATGGGAGGCCTTTTGGAGAAAGTACTTTTCTCTGCGGCAGAGTGGCAAGTGCTGAAAGAGCCTCTCTGTGTGGCCTTTCTCCTCAGGTGGTGATCAATGGTGGAGCCACATCCAGCGGAGAGCAGGACAACGAAGACACTGAGCTCATGGCAATCTACACCACGGAGAATGGCATCGCAGAGAAGGTATCTTTGCTCACCCCCTCCTACTGCCTGACCCTGTGTTTCTGCAGGGCCAAGGATGTCTCTGGTTTGGAACAGTGTATCTCTGTGTGTGTCTGTGTGTCGGGAGCTCTGCATGTTTGTTTTGTAATGGAAGAGTCATAATTACTAGGTTTTAATTGTCTTAGTAGCAGTTAAGGTTAAAAGCTCTTACAAGTCATTATCTAGGTATTTTTAAAGCTTCTTGCCAGAATGCCTGAGAACAGTGGTTAAGAGATTGAGGACTGAAATTCATGTCTGATTACAGAGGTGACTGATACTCTAGGGAAATTGCCATGACTCTCTGGGTATCAGCTTTTATTCCTAAAATAGAAATAAAAATACAAGATAAGTATATCTAAGATGTGGCATTAAAAAGCACGAATGTATGTAGTGTATGTATGTGTATATATATGTATGTATGAATGTATATGTGTGTATAGATGTGTACTTGTATTTGCATGTACACACATACATATGATACATTCATATACAAATATATAGTTTCTGCCATTATGCCTGTTAATTATTTGTTTTTTAAATAAAATTTGAGTAACCATGTTTATATACTCTTATATTCTGCATCACTGTAATGAAATGCTTGACACAGTTCCTCAATGAAGTAAAGAAAGTTCTATTCTGGCTTAAAAGGTCTGGACATGAAGAGGGCCATCCCCAGTGGGCATCCCCAGCAATAGTTCTTCAGGGCAGGCAGCACATAAGAACAAGTGCTCACATCCTAACCCAGAAAGTAGGAAGGGAGTGGGGACGAGCAGGGTCCCCACAATGCACTTCAAGAGCACAGTTCCAATGACCTAGGATCTTTGTGTCTGTGTTTTGCTTGTGTGTGTGTGGGGGGGTGGCCTAAACTGGACTTTGTAGTCCTCTGTCCCAGTTTCCACAGTGATCATACCCATAAAGTCCATCTCCTAAAGGTCTATAATATCTTTGATGTTGCCACTCTTTTGGAGGAGGGTTCAGGACAAAGTTTCTCTGTGTAACTTTGGAGCCTGTCCTGGAACTCACTCTGTGGCCTAGGCTGGCCTCAAACTTACAGAGATCCTCCTGCCTCTGCCTCCCAAGTGCTGGAATTAAAGGCATGCGCCACCATCGCCTGGCAAGGATTTTGCCATTCTCGAGGAAGCCTTTAACACGTGGACCCTCATGGGACATTAGGCAAATCATATATTCCCTTTAATTGCCTTTTGTAAGATATGTGACCGTGTTAGTTTGCCTTGTGTGGTGAGCCCAGTATTCCTTAGTCCTGTCAGTATAGACAAGTGTTTCAGGAATTGCCGTTGGGTTCAATCATTTCTTAGTGGTTTGTAGAATCCATTCAGTTCTCATCCTCACAGTTGTTTGTAGAGAGAAGCTGCACATAAAATTCCTGGTTGGAAAAAGGCAAATAGCAGAGTTAGGGAGACACCATGCACAGGCTTCTAGTCACCTTTACCCCAGTGCAGGCAGGCAGGAAGGCAGGCAGTGTTGTAATTCTCCGAAGCAATGGATAACACTCTCGAAATGTTGCCAACTAGGAAAGCTTACCGGAGCTTTGACATAGAAGGCTTTATCAGGCCAGCCTCTTGGGTATGACTGGTCACCCATGTGACAGTTTAGATTCCAGCTTCTGGGACAAGAAGCTGATAACAGTTGACCCATAGACCCTGCTGTAGACCACATTGTTAGCGTAAATGTTACCTTACCCAAGGTTTTGGGGGGGAAAAGGAGAAATAATAATTATGATTTTTAAAACTCAAAAACAAAAGCAAAACACTGGGAAATGGTGTCAGGAAGGCCAGACCTTCCTTTGCAAGGCGATTTGAGGAGCCCAAGCCTGCTCTCTTACACACGCATTGCACTTTCTCTCATTTCCACTGCTACAATACCATTTGAACACATTCAGCAGTGCAAGCCTGCCAATGTCTACTGCTGGACCAGAGGCAAATGTAACATCTGAGCCAAATGTTAACTTCATTGGACTGTACCTTTCAATTGTAGAGGATGAAACAAGACTCTAGAATGCTTGTGGAAAGGAACTCAACCCCCCAAGACAGTGCTCCCCTTCAAGGAAAATTGGGTGATAGTGCATGGAGTCAGCAGCACACTGTGGGCTGGATCCATCAGACATGAGCTCCAGGATCACAATATCATCTCTCTCTTTTCTTTTTTTCTGGTGGAATTTTATCATTTTGTTTCCTATTCATTTGTCAGCTGACTACATGGCCAGGCTGAGTTAGTTGTTTTGGTGATCTTGGCCTTCAAAAGCATGTAATACTTAACATTTTAAAAGTCTTTATTAAATTGTCACATAAAGTATTAGAAATATTTTAGTGTCTTTCTTGAGTCCTTAAGCTTGGCAGAAGGTCTGCTCAGGTGTGGTGCAATTGGGGATAAATTGATGTCAAGGGAGACAGATCTCTGAGAACCAGCACTCTGAGCATCAGTGCTCACAAGACAGGATGGCCCCTCAGTGGAATGTGGGGCAGTGGAGGGCTGTGCTAGGCTGAAAGAGCTAACATCGTTTGGGGCAGTGACTAAGCCCCTCTTTTTCTTATCTCGACTCCAGAGTTCTCTTGCAGAGACCCTGGACAGCACTGGGAGTCTGGATCCCCAGAGGTCGGATATGATCTACACTATAGAAGATGTTCCTCCCTGGTACTTGTGTATATTCCTGGGGTTGCAGGTAAGATGGTTCTTCCAGGGTGTGTGACCTCTGGGCTAATGCATATACTGTCTACCAGATAGATGTTCAAGATACCTTTTTGCTTTTTTTGTTTTGTTTTGTTTTTTGGCAGGGGTGTCTTTGTGTAGCCCTGGCTGTCCTGGAACTCTGTCTCTTGAGTGCTGGGATTAAAGGCATATATGTCCCTCCTTCAAGATAGTCTTTTTTTTTTTTTTTAATAATTCTGTGTTGTGTGTGGGGGGGTATGCGTGCAGGTGCTTGCAGAGACCATAGTGTTGTATTCCCACAGCCTGATGACAGTTCTGGGAACTGAACTCCCTTTTTCTGTGAGAACAATAGGTGCTTTTAACTGCTGAGCCATCTCTCTAGTCCCTGAGTGAGTTTTATTGTTATTTAAGATTTATTATAAATTATTTTCCAAGAATGCTGAATAAGAGTTTTCACAGAAGAAAAGAACTGGGAAGGAAATATTCAGGGAACATAAAAAGTATTGCAATGGAAGAAAAAAGGTGGTTGCTACAGGGAAGGCAGAATAGGAGGAGGAAGAAAGCAGAAAACAGAGAAAGCAGTGATTATCTTTGACCCCCATCCCTGACCTTAGCAGTCCATGAGCATGACAAGTGCCTGTTGGCTAGGACATGCGAGACGGCCTTATTATCTTTTAAAGGAAGGGAGACTAAGGAGACAACCTTAGTCTGTATAGGAGGGTAAGGTTGACAAATAGACAGGTCTACTGTAGATGTGGTGCTTGTCCTGCTTACAGATTTAAAGGGACAGGCCGGGGCGCTATCCTCACTGGCCTCACTGCCTGGCTTCTGATCACTCTGCCGGGTTTGGCCCTTGTTTTGAGGTTTGTGTTTCTACATTTCCTTGCCCAAGTGTGTGTGATCGGTTCCTCTAAGGTTTCTTCAGTGCTGGGAAAGTCAATCTTGTTGACCAGACCATCGTGTTTACTTGGAGCTGGACCGTGCTTGGCCCTCAGTGGTGCCTGATTGGGTTTTCCTCCCCACCCTGGAGCTGGAAGGTTGAGTGGGCTTGGTGAATAACTTAACTCAGGTCAGGTGCCCTGGACCTAATGAAAGAGACCCAGCTTTCAGCTCTTTCTATTATAGATGTTTCTAGAATAGCTAAATGGGAGTAGCAACTCTTGCCTCTTGCTCTTAACAATACACAGTACATTGTGCACTGCTATGAAAAGTTTTCAACAGAACACACACAAACCTGTACATTTGAGTTGCAGTCAATATATATGGACTCTGTGGGGAAGAAAAAGAAGTTTACAGGATAGGAATAAAGAACTAGAAAATTAGGAGAAAGGGAAGTGAATTGTGAATGTTGGGGCTGTCTTTAGGAGTCACAGGAGTAAGAATGGGACCCTAAAAAGAAGAGTATTGTGTGGTTCTTCCTGAAAGATTCCTGTAGCCACTGTGCCCCGATCCCTGCCTAACTGGAACAGGTGAATATTTGCCTAGTGGTACCAACCACAGAGCAAGGCAGAGAATGCCTTCTGCTATGAACTCACTGTGTGGTATAATCCCTAGACCAAAAAGGCTAAAAACAGAGGAAAGAGCTCTATAGACTAATATCTTAGGAATGCAGATGTAAAATATGAGCACATCAGCTGGGTGCAGTGCATTCCTGTTATCTCTGAATATCAGAAGCCTGAAGCTGGAAGATTAGGGGTTTGAGATCAGCTTGGACGGTATAGTGAAATTTAATACACCCTGGATTCCCAGGTGAGACCCTATCTCTATAAAACATGAGCAAAACAAGGTCTTATCAAATCAAGTCCTATGGTATGCCTAACTAGGGTCTCTTTCAACTGCAAGAGTGGTTTAGTACAGGGCAGTTAGGAGGTTAGAGAAGTGTTTGGGAGGACAAAAAGTAGGTATCTCTAATAAGAAATAAACTTCTGTTGAGAACTTGGTCAGTGATGTCATAACACAAATGGGTATTAGGAAAGGAAAGCGACAAACTGTGAATGGACATGATCAGAATGTGTAACTTGTACACCTAGAGATTCTTCTTGTGTCTGTATGTCTTTTTTTTTTTTTTTTTTTTGGTTTTATGAGACAGGGTTTCTCTGTATTGTTTTGGAGGCTGTCGGTCCAGCCCGGCCTCGAACTCACAGCAATCCGCCTGCCTCTGCCTCCGAGTGCTGGGATTAAAGGCGTGCGCCACCAACGCCCGGCTGTGTCTGTATGTCTTAAAGATACCAGGGGAACAACATTAGGGACAAATCAAGCGAACAAGAGCAGGTTTACTCTCCCCTTGTCTCTCCTTGAGCAGCACTACCTGACCTGTTTCAGCGGCACAATCGCCGTGCCTTTTCTACTGGCTGATGCCATGTGCGTGGGAGATGACCAGTGGGCCACCAGTCAGCTCATCGGGACCATTTTCTTCTGCGTGGGAATCACTACATTGCTGCAGACAACATTTGGGTGCAGGTGAGATGGGGTACTGTGGGATGTTCACACCCCAGCAAGGCATCGTGCCAGGCCCTTTGCCCAACACTATTGGATAGATCAGTTGGTGTCATAGCATATCCCAGTGGCCATTGCTCTCCAGCCCACCTTTACAGGTGTCCCTGGCCCCATGTTTCCTCTCTTCATGAAGGGAACTACCCCATTGCGCAAGCTGGAAACAAAGCCTTTTTATTGCCATTGCTGGCTGGCAAGGCACTGTCAGTCTCTAGCATGCTTTCCAGTCCTCTCCTGTAATCCAGACCCAGTCTCTTTGACTAAGTTGCCATGTGGTCTCTTGCACCGTGACTCTGTGCACTCCTTCGCAGCCCATGCCATCTTTCTACAACTCCCCTCCTTGGGATTTCCAGGATGCTTTCTTCCTGGTGTACAGCTTGTCCCTTTTTTCTGTGCCTTTCCCAGGTTTCCAGGTGAGCCTTTGAGCCCCGCCCTCCTGCATGTCCCAGTGCCCACCCATGCAGCATACCTGCATTTTCTCCATCCCACGTCTCACTCCTGAGATTCCTGAAATCCTCTGTTCTCCCCTGAATTTCTACACCTGTGTTTTATGTTCTTTGGATCCATTCTTCTAATGTGGCTCGCTCTTCTTCTGTCTTTGCCCCACTTTCTCAGCTGCCCCTTTTGGTGCCAGCACCTGGCTTGTTTACCTTTGCATCGTAGCCCCAGGACTTGAGGGTGGAGCTGAGCCAGGAGGTACAGGAATCAAATGCTCCTGGCCTCTGTAAACTGGCCTTTTCCTCCTTTCCATATCCCACCCTATTCACAGCATGGCCTCCTGCTTGCCAAGGCTCTGCTGATTATCCTCAGAGTAAAGTCTGTGGGTCTCTCTTGATCTGTTTGGAGACAGTGCAAACGGGACTTGCTTTTTCCTGCTGGGAGGTGGCAGCAAGAAGGACAGTGAATAGCCAGCAGCTGTGACCTGTATTCTGATGTGCCAGGGTCAGTCTTCTGGACTCTGAAGGGCCATCCCGCCCAGGGAACAGTTAGCAACTAGGGTGTCTGGCTGCAGTAAGGTGGAGTGCGAAGGCAAGTGGCAGTTCCCGTCAGGTCTGCTCGCGGAGAGAAGCCGTCTGCCCACGGCCATGGGGCTGGCAAGCTGTGGGTTCTTAGATTCCTAGACAATCTGCAGCCACTATACTGAGCAGAGGGTTGGAGGTGCTCTCTCCAGGGGCCCAGAAGAGAGGAGCAGGGGTGTCATGGATGTGCTGGGGAAGGAGATGACCCCAGGCTTTTCTTTCACAAAGCATTTAAGCCAGGCAGTTAACAGTGGCAGCTGCAACACTGTGTTTTGTGTTGATATTTAAGGCTCTAGCCACAGGTCTGGAGCAGCTTTTGTTGGCTTTACCTTGCATGTAGGTTGTGATACTCTGGGAAAATACTTGTCCTAAACAGCTGACCTAACCTATAGTTGATAGAGTTGGCTGACATGGAGAGGTGATGGAAGCTCTTTCTTGTGGCTGTATCTGCCTATGTAAGCTGCATCCCCACATCATGCCAAAGGCCAGGCCAGGAGACTGCTGACTTACATAAGATGACACAGCAAGTGGACCTCAAGGCAAGGAAGGGCTTTTGGTTTGAGGGCACCCCTTTCACCCATTGTTGAGGCATCAGCCCATGGAGAACAGTGTTGGTCAGCGCAGTTCATCTCTGTTTTCCCTTAAAGAGCAGTCAGCCAGGAAAGATCTGGAGAGGATGATGCCATTTGCCCACTTAGAGACTGGAGAGAGGAGCTGCGCATGGGCACAGGGTGTCTGTTCAGTGTGCTCATCAGGCTTTAGGTGCTCTGGGGAGTGAAGAGCAGCAGGTCCCTCTTCACCATGTGTGGCCACATGCTTGGTTGTTTATCAGGAGGCCAGTGTCCCGTCTAAGAACCGGGCAGCGAGTGCATGGTCACTGTCTAGGAGAGTGGTGCTGTGGCATCGTGCCGGGCCTGGGACGTCAGATTCTGTGGCTCTTGAGGTTTGGGTGGTCTCTCACTGCCCCTTAGGTGTCTAGTAATTTATCTGTGTAGAAGGCACAAGTGACTTAAGGTGGCAAGCAGACAGGATTGTGTGTGTATTATGATGTCCACATTCCAGAACATTGTGTAGGATCATAAGACAAGTGGGGATGTCTTGCCTGTGATTTGAGGAGCCGGTAATGGTAGAGATATCCCAGAGACCTGAATTTTGTCCCAGGAGGATGAGGGAGTATCTTTCACCTTGGCAGAGGTGAAAGCAAAAGCAGGAATTTACGACTCAGCATAAGATTCCTTTCACCAGGCACAAGCCAGGACTTTGGTGAGCTCTAGGACGCTGCACTGGTGGGATTGTACTGAAGGCCTTAGCTTGCAGCATGTGACTAAAGAAAAGTTATGGTGTATACCTTCATAGCCTTAGGACCTTAGGCAACTGCCTCCTTTGCAGGTGGATGAGAGGAAACTGCCTCCAGTATTCCTGGATGAGAGTTTTTGCTTTTATCTTAATCATCTATTATATTTTTGCAGACGATTTTGGGGAGTTGTATAGTGTAACTAAGATGGGCATCCTTTTGGTTCTGCCAGATAGTAGTGTGGACCATCACCAGGTGTTGAGGATCGTCATCTCAATAGCCCTTTAAAACTTTACTGCTAAAATAAGATCAAATAAAGCAGTTCACACAGAGGAGATGCAAAGGTGAATATGTAGGGGTGGAGCTAAGAGCTAGGCTGTTCCATCACCGTGTCCAGAGGGCTGCAGGCGATCTGTGCTTCGGTTACTAGTCAGGTTTCAGGCTTCCTCTGGCAGAAGAAGTTTTTTCATGTTAAACGTTTGTGGTTTCTTGACAGATTCCTGGAATTTCCCAACTCTGGGGGTTATGTGTGTTGATCCTAAGTTCTGTATGTATGTGTGTTTTCCTGCCATTTGTTGGCACCCTATGCTTCCATCACTGGGCAGCTACGGTATATGGGCCTGCCTCTGAGGGGTGGGGCTTTTATTCTAGGGAAGCTAGAGAGCAGGGAAGAGGCATGGTTTGTGGTTAGGTCCTACTCCCTTCCTTACTGCTGCCTTGAAAACCTGTCTTTATCTTGTTCCATAAAAATAGAATTCAGGAAAGGTGGCACGTGCTTTTAATCCCAGCTCTTGGGAGGCAGAAGCAGGTGGATCACTTGGAGTTTGAGGCCAGCCTGGTCTATGTATAGAATTCTAGGACAGCCAGTACTGCATAGTGAGGCCCTGTCTTCAAAAATGAAAGAAAGCCAAAGTTGATCTTTGAGAAACAAAGATGATGAAGTAGATGTGTCCTTTGGCAGACCTAGAGCTAAGCCAAGGGTACCCAGCCTCCTTGGGGTGCATGCTGTCGGGAATGTGTGGTACAGTGCTGCTATAGGTCCTCCCTCCCTCCCTCCCTCCCTCCCTCCCTCCCTCCCTCCCTCCCTCCCTCCCTCCCTCCCCTGCTGCCTAAGAGTGTCTCCCTTCTCTCTGGGGACCACCATCTTTTACCTCACCTGTGGGACTGCAGTGGCTGTTTTGCCCCATCCATCTGTCTGTCGGGTGAGGTGATTTCCAGGATGCCTCCTCCTTTACCCTCTCCTTCCTTGCACTGGGCTTTTCCCTTGTGCTTTGTTTTCCGTATCTGCATTGCTTGGCTCCCATGATGGAGACTGGACAGTTCTCGTTCTGATTGTCAGTTTTAGTTGCCCCTTGAACTTGTTCTAAAAGCTGGTACCAAACCTTTTAAAATCTCCCTGCTGTGGGGATAGGGTTATTCAGAGTCTCCCTAACCACAGCCAGCCTGTGTCATCATGTCTTCAGGCCCCCACCTACGCACTCCACAGAGTCAGTGTGGAGTTGGTGTGGGTTAGTGTGGAAGGAGGTTCTCTGAAGCCCTGTGCTTTCCTCACTGAGTTTCTCACAGATGTGGCTAGAGGAGAGAGAACCCCCTCACTCTGTCATCCCCAGTAGTGTAAGAGTGCAGGCAGGAGCTGTGTTTCTCTGTGTAGCACAAACTTGCTGAAGCAATAGGGGGCTCCTTTACTGAGAGCCTCTAAGTCTAGTTTAAGTATCTGGTTTCTAATTAGCCACTGTCCACAGGAGAAATTTAGCTTCTTGTGGCCTCCCTCTGTCCGTCCGTCCCTCCCTCCCTCCCTCCCTCCCTCCCTCCCTCCCTCCCTCCCTCCCTCCCTCCCTCCCTCCCTCCCTCCCTCTCTCTCTCTCTCTCTCTGTGTGTGTGTGTGTGTGTGTGTGTGTGTGTGTGTGTGTGTGTGTGTGTGTGTGTAGGGGGAAGGGGGCTTGCTCAAGTGGTGTGCTCACTGAGGGCAGTACTCTTCCAGGTCTTACATCTGGGGACATTGAATCCATATTGTTTGAGTGCATAGTGGTTAGTCTAGGGAGGTGGAAAGTTTTCCCACAATTCTTCATCACTGAGGGGTTCTTGCATTTGTTTTAGTTTTTGTGAAATAGCTTGCAAATAGTATGGTGACCCACCCTAAACTGTCTCTGAGTAACCATAACACCATTTGTCAACTTGAGAAAATAATTATTCCGTCATATCTAATATGCAGTCCATATTTAATTTCCCCAGTTGCCCCTAAAATGTGTGTTATAACTGCTCCCCAGGCCTCTCTAAGCTGTGGTCCAATTAAGCTTATGTGGTGCTTTGGCTTGCTATGTCTCTGGTCTCTTACCTCCCCCTACCATCTTTTTAGAGTCCAGACCAGGGGCTTATCCACTCATGATCCCAGTGTGTCTGGCTGTGTCCTCATGGCGCTGTTTAATTTGCTTGAACTGGAAGATGGGTCCTGAGACATGGATGATTCAGGATGAATGTTTCACCAAAATTACTGTGTTGGTGATATTAGGCCCTTTGTATTCTGCCATGCCAAGCAGCGTATAATAGCTGGCTGTAGAATTTTCCCACAAATAAAGTTTCCTGCCTACTTCACCAAGGAAACATTTTAAATAGTAGAGTGAAATTCTTTGGGGGAATTTGCCAGTGCAACCTGA